AAACTGGATCAAAAAGAATCGTTCAACGTTCAACCATTTCAGAAGATAGCATATGACAAAGAACTGATGGTATTGAAGGAAGACGTCCAAGCTACACTGAAGGCATTGGTGAAAAAACAAGGCTCGAGTAATTGATGGAATACTAATTGAGATATTTCAACAAATAGATGCAGTGCTGGAGGTGCTCACTCATCTATGCCAAGAAATTTGGAAGACAACTACCTGGCCAATCGACTGGAAGAGATCCATATTTGTGCCCATTCCAAAGAAAGGTGATCCAACATAATGCAGAAATTATTGAACAGTATCATTAATATCACACACAAATAACATTTTGCTGAAGATCATTCATTCAAAAGTGGTTGTATCAACAGGGAACTGCCAATATTTCAAGCCAGATTCAGAAGAGGACGTGGAACCAGGGATATCATTGTTGATGTCAGATAGATCTTGGCTGAAAACAGAGAATACCAGAAGGATGTTTACCTGTGTTTTATTGACTATGCAAAGGTATTCAACTGTGTGGATCACAACAAATTATGGATAACATAATGGGAATGGGAATTCCAGAATGTTTAATTGTGCTCATGAGGAACCTATACATAGACAAAGAGGCAGTTGTTCAAACCAAACAAGGGGATACTGCGTGGTTTAAAATCAGGAAAGGTGTGTGTCAGGGTTGTATCCTTTCACCATACTTATTCAATCTGTATGCTGGGCAAATAATCAGAGAAGGTGGACTATAAGAAGATGAAATAGGCCTTCAGGATTAACAACCTGCAATATTCAGATGACACAACCTTGCTTGCTGTAAGTGAAGAGGACTTGTAAAAATGGTGTGGGAGCAGTGTCTGACCTCCTCCAACCCCACAAGGGGGAAGGAGAACCAAGATCAATAGTGCAAGACTTACTCCCATGAGGCAGAGACCAGACAAGCCTCCTCTCTCCACCATCTTTACCAACTCTGACACCAACCATCCCTACACAGCACTCTCTACTTTTCTGCTGAGTTTGATAATTCATTGCAATGGCCACACAGGACTCACAGACAATACTCAGGTTTGTGGGGTTTACTAGGGAAGTAACAAGTTACAATTCAAGCTCAGGAACATTCAGAATATAGCTCTTTCATCAAGACAGTCTCTTCCCAGCCATGCTCGCAGGCACGCCTCTCCCTGGCCATAGGCCTCTCCCCAAAGGCACTCAGCTTTCTCTGTCTGTGAGCTGGAAAGTCCACCATGCCATCTCCTGCTGCCAGGTCTCTGCCGCCACATCTTTGCTACCACATCTTGCTACCTTCAGTGTTACAGCTTGTTGTCTCCTGGGTCCAGGAGCTTCTCATTGCAGGGATCCCAGATCTGAAGGACGTGCTGGCTCTTGGTAGTTCTTCCTTTTTGGTGGTGGGATCTTCTCTCTCTGGCCTCTGGGATGGCTCATTTTAAGCCCAGCAGGATGACAAAATTGACCAATCCCTTCTGTGGGCCACAATTACCATATCTGCACAGTCCTGCCCAATCATTTTGGAGGGAATTACAAGATCATGGCTAGAAAGGCCACACAAAAGTGATCCATCATACTACAGGTCTTGAAGCACTTAGTAATGAAGATTAAAGACTACTGTCTTAGTCATCTAGTGCTGCTATAACAGAAATGCCACAAGTGGATGGTTTTAACGAAGAGAAGTTTATTTCCTCCTAGTTTAAGTAGGCTAAAAGTTCAAATTCAGGGCATCAGCTCCAGGGGAAGGCTTTTTCTCTCTGTTGGCCTTCTCTTCAGTGTTCCCCTGGACTAGGAGCTTCTCTGCCCAGGGACCCCAGTCCAAAGGACACGCTCTGCTCCCGGCACTGTTTTCTTGATGGTATGAGGTCCCCAGCTCTCCGCTTGCTTCTCTTTCCTTTTATCTCTTGAGAGATAAAAGGTGGTGCAGGCCACACCCCAGGGAATCTCCCTTTACATTGATTGGATCAGGGCTGTGACCTGGGTAAAGATGGTGTTACAATCCCACCCTAATCCTCTTTACCATAAAATTATGATCACAAAATTTAGGCCAACCACACAATTCTGGGAATCATGGCCCAGCCAAACTGATACACACATTTTTGGGGGGACATAATTCAAACCATGACAACTACATAGTTCAGTATGGATTACAACTAAACTTAAAACAAAAATCCTCACAACTGGACCAGAAAGCAACATCATGATGAATGGAGAAAAGATTGAAATTGTGAAAGATTTCATTTTACTCGGATCAACAATCAACGCCCAAGGAAGCAGCAGTTGAGAAATCAAATGACGCATTGCACAGGGCAAATCTGCTGCAAAAGATCTCTTTAAAGTGTTAAAAAGCAAAGATGTTACCTTGAAGACTAAGATGCACCTGACCCAAACCATGGTGTTTTCAATTTTCTCATACACATGCTGAGGCTGGACGATGAATAAGGAAGACTAAAGAAGAATTGATGCTTTTTAGTTATGTTGTTGTTGAAGAATATCGAATGTACCATGGACTGCCAGAAAAACCAACAAGTCTGTCTTGGAAGAAATACAGCCATAGGGCTTCTTGGAAGCGAGGATGGCAAGATTCCTTCTTCAAAAAAAAACTTGAGCTGGTCTCATGGCTTTCCAGTTTATTCTTAGGGAACAAATTTTAGTCAGAAACACAGTTGTCTTAGGCTGGGTTCTCTAGAGAAGCAAAACCAGTAAAGCGTATAAATATATATATATAGAAAGAGATTATATCAAGGAAACAGCTCATGCAACTGTAGAGGCTAGAACGTCCCAAGTCCATGGATCAGGGTAGAGGCTTCTCCCAAGTCACACAGCTGCAGAAACTGACAAGCCCAAGATCGGAAGGTTGGAGAGCAGGGCTCCCACTCACAGGCTGTGAAGATCCATGAATCCCAGGTTCAGCAGATAAGCTGACAGCTCAAGTCCCAAGAACGGGAGATGAGACCACAGGAAACAGCTGCAGGATCCAGAGAGAGCAAAAAGCCAGAACGTCTGCTTATATACAGATGCAGGCCACACCCCCAGGGAGACTCCCTTTCATCTGATTGGCTGCTCACAGTATATTCAATCCTGGGAGTGATTACATTAAAACACGGAGAATTATGGCCCAGCCTCACTGACACACAATCTTAACCATCACAACAGTTTTAATTATAATATCCAAACTCTGAACATGATTTGCAAGGAAAAAGGGGCTAGGTACTTCTGCTTTTCTCTTGTCCTTGCCACAGTTCTTCCTATTCAGTAGCTGCTATGTCACCCACAGTCAAGGCTGAAGGTGAAGAAGAGTTAAAGGCGTATGACAGTTCTTTATTTAGCACATTGTGCTCTTTGGGCCTGCAAGATGGCTAAAGGGGAATCTGTCCCTCAGACTGGTCTTTTTATGTGCTCTTTGGAGATTCCTGCTGGGCCCTTCTCTCCTACGTCTCCATAGTCCTGGACAGATGCACCAATATTACTTTGGGCGGCCCCTGGGTCACTGGTGTTATGTCTCTCCCTATTTTTTGCTCCTCTAACATGAGGTAGCCTTACTGGACAGAGGGTGTTACGGATTGAATTGCTGTTGTTAGGTGTTAGTCGGTTTCGACTCATAGTGACCCTGTGTACAACAGAACAAAACACTGCCCAATCCTGCACCATCATCACAATCTTTATGCTTGAGCCCATTGTTGCAGCCACTGTGTCGATCCATCTTGTTGAGAGTCTTCCTTTTTTTTGATGACCCTCTACTCTACCCAGCATAATATCCTTCTCCAGGGACGGATTCCTCCTGATAACATGTCCAAAGTATGTGAGATGTAGATTCACCATCCTTGCTTCTAAGGAGCATTCTGGCCGTATTTCTTCCAAGACAGATTTGTTCATTCTTTTGGCATGTTTTTCCCTTTTGGTTTTCTAACTCCGGGTATCTGCACATGTCATTATAATACTTTACTTTGTTTTCTAGCTGCTCTTTGAAATCTTCTGTTCAGCTCTTTGACGTCATCATTTCTTCCATTTGCTCTAGCTACTTGACATTCAAGAGCAAGTTTCAGACTCTCTTCTGATATCCATTTTGGTCTTTTCTTTCTTTCCTATCTTTTTAATGACCTCTTGCTTTCTTCTCGTCAGATGTCCTTGATGTCATTCCACAACTTGTGTGGTCTTCGGTCATTGGTGTTCAACACATCACATCTATTCTTGAGGTGGTCTCTAAATTGAGGTGAGATATGCTCAAGGTCGTACTTTGGCTCTCGTGGACTTGTTCTAATTGTCTTTAGCTTGAACTTGAACTTGCATCCTAATCGCATGTTCGATCAATTTCAGACTGCAGAAGTTGGTAAAAATCTTCAGTTTCTTCATCTTTGGCCTTTGTGATTGGTGCGTAAATTTGAATAACAGTTGTATTAACTCTTCTTCCTTGTAGGCTTATGGATATTATCCTATCACTGACAGCATTGTATCTCGGGTTAGATCTTGAAATGTTCTTTTGCCCATGATGCAATGCCATTCCTCTTCAGTTGTCATTGCCAACATGATAGACCATATGGTTGTCCAATTCAAAATGGTCAGTATTAGCCCATTTCAGCTCACGAATGCCTAGCATATTGATGTTTATTTGTTCATTTCATTTTTGAAGATTTCCAATTTTCCTAGATTCATACTTTGTAAATTCAACCTTCCGATTATTAATGGATGTTTGCAGCTGTTTCTTCTCATTTTAAGTCTTGCCACATCAGTACAACAAACTGACAGATGAATGGGGGATGGATTGAATTATGTCCCCCAAAATATGTGTTGTAAATCTTAACCTCTATGCCTGTCATTATAATCCCATTTGGGAATGGGTTGTCTTTGGTATGTTAAAGAGGCAGGATTAGTGTAAGGTGTATCTTGAGTCAATCTCTTTTGAGATACGAAAAGAGATTAAACAAACCAGAGAGGAGATGGGGTAAAATAGATGTCAGGACACATGGAGAACTCCAAGGAACCAGGAAACAGAAGCTGAATAGACGAGGACCTTCTTCCAGAGCCGACAGAGAAAGAAAGCCTTTCCCTTGAGCTGGCACCCTGAATTCAGACTTCTAGCCTCCTAAACTGTGAGAAAATAAATTTCAGTTTGTTAAAGCCCTCCACTTGTGGTATTTATGTGATAGTAGCACTAGATGACTAAGGTAGATGTTAAGAATCTTATTCTCTTAGGTTGAAACTTTGGTTTCCCAGAGTCAGATAGAATTCCTAGCAGGGAGTCTGCCGCAGGCCTTGGTCCGTGTTTTGTTTCATAGTGTGTCTCGTTGCGGGAGAATTTTCTTGTGGCTGGTGGGCAGCCTAGTGCTCTGGCCCATCTGATGTCCCGGCTTATCCTTTCATGGGTGTCTTTCTGTCAGAGACAAGCGTCGCGAGATTCTAAGATGCCTGACCCATGCCCACAGATTTTTGTGGCTTAAAGACTCTGGGATTCCTTCGTAACAACCATATGAAACCTGGTTTCATTCTTTCCGAACCTAATTCATTCTGCCTAGAGACCTAGTCTCGTATTTTAGGCCTTAAATATATTAGTCTCTCCAGTTGGAAAGTATCCTAAAGTGGCCACTGATTGAACATGCTGTCGTTAGGGAGCTCAAACAAAATTTCAGACATAAACAAGACCTAGACCCATAGCTCTTGGCCACGTAGCCTGCCAGAGTTCCACTAGGAAAATCAGCTTCTATCTTTGATTCAGCATAGCCCACCCTGAGACAGTCTTAACCGCTAGGATTCACCAAACTCACAATACATACTGGATTTTTCACTACCTATCGGGAGAGCAGTTTCCAAGTCGACAATTCAAAACACAAATCGAAAAAGAAATCTCAGCAGAGCTAGCATGCAAGGTGCGGAGCTCAGTTTACGAGAACTTTTTTTTTTTTTTTTTTTTTTTACCTGAGCACCGCTGAGATAAAGTGGAGAGGAAGGAGCCCAACCGACTCAGCTCAGCACTGAAGCTGGAAGCGGCAGTTGATCTCAGGATCACAGAAGCTACCTAGGGAATCCCACCTCTCTAACACAAGAAATGGAAACAAATTTCTGAGAATGAAAACAAGGTTAAAGACAATACTAGATATTTATTATTCTATCAACGATTCACGGATCAGGGAACACACAGCCTCAAGCGCGTATTCCAAGTAATGTGGCAGCATCAGGGTTAATACAGTCAGAGGGGAACAAAGAGAGTCCTGAAAGTCCAGGCGGTTTTAGCCGGTTTTTCAGAGGTTCATTAGAATGTCCTTCGAAACCCTTTCTTCTCTGAAATATTAGTTTGCTTAAGAAGACAAATGTTGCAGTTTTCTTTTTTCGGGGGGGCGGTGGGGTGTGGGCGCGGGGAATTCGCGCCTACTGAGCGGAGGCAGATAACAAGGCATCTGCCTGTCTGGAAAGCAGGAGTTAAAGAGCAGAAACTGTTGATTATACATAAATTTACAGGGCAAGCTAATTACTGTTTCTGAAAGTTAGGGTTACTTCATCATCTTAAACTTTTGCCCTGTGAAACCAGGTAGTAGCCATGCACTTCCGCCACGGGGAAAAGGACTCCATGTTGGTTTTAGCTTCCACAGCCACTGAACCCTAGTTAATAGTTAAGTCTTTTTCTACTTTAGGAGCTAGTGCGAGTTTTATCCACATTTCAGAGGAAATCCTAGATTTAGGATTTCATCAGGAGTTGTGGCAGATGGAAGTTTGGGGGTGAAGAGCATGAGAGTGGGATTTGTGCGGCACGAAATAGGGTAAAATGACAGCGCGAACAGCACCCCCTAGTGTTGACGAGAAGCTGCGTGGCGTGGGGGGCGGGGACACGGCCGGGAGAAGGTGTGCGTTACAGATTTTCTCTCTATTCCTTTGCCCTAAATCCCCTCCTGAAGGACTAGGAGCCCTAGATACTGGATCAGACCTGTTCAGAGACTGCCGAGTAGAGTGCTTGTTTAAGAGATAGCACCAAGCAGAGAAGCCAAAATCAAAAGCCAGGAACGTAGTCCACAACTAAGATCCCACCAAAAGGGACCAGGAGAGAGGTGAAATACACGTGCGAGGTAACAAGAAGAACAGGGGGAAAAGTAAGGGGTTCCAGAAGGGAGGTGGAGCCCGGAGACACTTCCGCGAGCTGCTTGGGGGAGGGCTAGGACGCTTTGGTGGTTCCAAACCACTAGCCTCTCAGCAGGAGAAAGATGTGGCAGTTGGCTTCTGTAAGGATTACTCATTCCATGAATCAATTCTGACTCATAGCTACCCTATAGGACAGGGTAGAACTGCCCCACAGGGTTTCCAAGGAGCAGCTGGTGGATTTGAACTGCAGACCTTTTCGTCCGAGCTCTTAACGATTTCGCCACCAGGGCTCCCCTAAAAGATTACAGTCTTGGAAACTATATGGGGCAGTTCTACTCTGTCCTACAGGTTCGTTCTGAGTCCACTCAACGGCGATGGGTTTGATTTGCTTTTGGCAAGCCTTAGGAGGGAAGTAAACTGTGAGGGAGCTGAGCCAACTTGCGAATCATTCTCCGGATCACCACCCCCCCTACTTGGGCTAAAGGCAGGAGCTCCAAAACAGGAGTGAGAAGCCTGCAGTGCATTCTGGAGGCAGACACTTGAGCAGGTGAAGCCAGAAGTAGTAAAAGCTACACGGCTTAAGGGGCATGTGTGTGGCAGATTTGGGCCTCATTTGCTTTCATGCCCTTACGTTTTCAGTGATTTCAAATGCCTCCTTGGTTTGAACCCAGTTTGCCTTTCTGACTTCAGCTACCCTGACCTTTTGTTGAAGTGGCTATTTGTCATCACGCTCACCCCATTCTAAACACAAATCAGGTCCCTTTTGTCTGCCCCAGATCTGCCTACTTCCTGCCTTGTGGAGTTTGATGAGATATGAGGAAGACCCAATCAGCCTCTGGGCTTCCTTCTGGCCTGTCATTCATTTATTGAGCACTTACTATGTGCCAAGCACTGCATTCAAAGCTGAAGATACAATAGTAAACAAAACTTAGAGAAATTCCTGTCCTTAATGGATTTTACATTGTAATGAGAGAGTCAGACAATAAGCAAGACATAGTTGCAAAAAAAAGCAATTAAAAATAAAAGCATGAATATAATCTATGCTAGATAGTGATAAAATAAAGCTAGGAAGGGGGATGTGGTGGTTAAAATTGTATATGGGTGGCCAGGAGGGGTGACTTTTGAGTAAAAATCTGTAGGTGAGGGATTTACCATGTGGTGATCTGAAAGAACATTTATTGCCATGATATACAAAAAGATTACTGAGTCCTTGTCTTTCAGGCAAAACTCAGGTCAATTGGTTGGTTGTGGGGGTCAGGTGATAAAACTATGCTGCATAATGGATAAGAGTGAGGGGTTCTAGATTCAGAATCCCTTATTTAAATCTCAGATCTGCCCTTACTAGCTGTGTATTCTCAGGAAAGTTACTTTACCTCTTTGAATTTCATTTACCTCTTTGGTTTCCTCGTCTGAAGAACCTACCTTGAAGAGCTATAAAAAAACCCAAAAAACTAAACCCATCACTGTCAAGTCGATTCCAACTCATAGTGAGGATTAAACAGTTAAGGTATGAAAAGCATTTAGAATAGTTCCTGGTCCATAGTAAGTGGCACATAAATTTTCGCTCTTATTATTATAAATATGTTTGCCTTCTGAGCAAACATACATATTGCAAACCAGCAAATCTTTGTTGTTGTTGTTAGGTGCCATCGAATCAATTTCAACTCACAGGTACCACATTGACACAGAACTGCGCCATAAGATTTTCTTGGCTGTAATCTTTACAGAAGCAGATTACCAGGACTTTTTACCACAGAGCTGCTGGGTGGGTTCGAACCACCAACCGTTCAGTTAGTAGCCAAGCACTTAACCTTTTGTACCACCAGGGCTTTGGCAACCACAAATGTGTAAGTTGCCCATCTCCTCTCCTTTAAGGTTCTGATGAACTTTCTTAAACAGAGCAACACAATGTCAGAGATCAAAGGGGCAAACTAAATCAGAAAGAGCCAGTAAGAAAAGGCAAGAGTCATTTTATGGGGACACTTAGCTTAAATAGCAGGCTCAAAGTTGAGGATGCAGAGCCAACGGTTTGGAGTCAAACAGGCAGAGTTCAGAGGGAGAAGGCGATTTCAGAGTGACAGCAGGCCAGGGATAAATGAGAGTATCCAGGATGATTGCTGCAAAGCCTCACTTCCCCCAGTTCCCTACCCAGTTCCATTAGGGATCCATGAAAGGCCCTGATGAGGGCTTGGGATATGCTTGAGGTGAGGGGCTGGTTCCCACGACTGAATTTTCAGTACCATCACCTCTGCCTGTTATTAGGTATACAAGGAGGCCAAGATACCAACCAGCAGGGGTCTAATACTTCTGCTAAGTGCTCGGCTTCCCAGCCCAGGTTTTGGGACTAGGCTCAGTAAAGATCAGTGGAAGATAGATGAATATAGGGTTGATAAAAATTTTGAATATTCTGAGGAAGCAATCCTCCAGTTTGGGGCAGGGTTGAGTAGAGCAGATGTTCTGGAAGTTCCTGACAGCATCTCCAGTGCTGTCTCAACCCAGTGCTCATTGGTGCATTTGAAGGTATTTTATACTTCTCCAAGGAACCCTGGTGTCACAGTGGTTAAGCACTTGGCTGTTAACTGAAAGGTTGGTGGTTCGAACCCACCAACCACTCTGTGGGAGAAAGATGTGGCAGTCTGCTTCCGTAAAGATTTACAGTTTTGGAAACCCCATGGGGCAGTTCTACTCTGTCCTACAGGGTTGCTATGAGCTGGAATTGATTTGACGGCAGTGGGTTGGGTTTGGTATATTCTCCATGGGCAGTCTGTGTCTTTTCCAGGTGTCAACCATTACGATGGTAATAATGCTCAGTAATGTGGGAATTTGAGGTAAATAATGGTCTAGAAGCTATAAGTGCTATGGGATTGTGTATGTTGGTGGTAGAGAAATGCAGTGAATTATTACATGGGATTTTTGTGCTGGTAAGGAACGTTGACTGGCCAAATTGTATGAATATTTATGGGCTGGCGTGCAGATGTAGCGCCCTTTACTTGTGTTTGTGGAGTTTGGGGTTGATGGGCCATTTCGAAGGGCAGCTTCCTAGCACCTGGTTTCTAAGTCAATATTAGGATATTTGAAAACATACTACCAAGTTAAAATGTGACAAAATAAAAGAGAGAGGCTACATAAAATGTGAAGCCAAGCTAATTAAGAAGGAATCAGTTTTCACCAGGACTTTTTATAAAAAGTGTTCACAGTCATTGGCAAATAGCCATGCTGAGTTTTCAGTGGCATGATGGATACATGGGTTTTTTTTTTTGTCTCTTTTGCTGGTGGCTGTATCCCTATACCTAAACAGTGTCTCTCACATAGTAGGTGCACAATAAATATTTGTTGAATGAACAAATAAAATTTCACAATTAGAAAACAAACAAATAACTTCCTTGGTCAGGGTGGTATGGTTTCCCTAGTTTGCCTAGTGGTTCCCAAGACTTCCCTCTGACCCATATCTTTACTAGTGGGAATAAGTACCAGATTTTGCCATGATGTGACCAGAACTCCAGTACCCAGTTAATGGGACACTCAGGTTGCCCTCCCCAGATTGATGAGGCAGACTGAGGTGGTACAGGGTGAAGAGTAGGGTCTGGGGTGCCAGGAAATTGTGAAAGAGTAGATACACATGAAGACACGCAGGGAGAATCAGAAGGCCAGGGGTTGATGGTTTCTGTCACCTTGATCCTCTCCTGGTATGGATATGAGACTTGAGGAGTATTAGAGAGGATTTCTGTAGTGGATAAATTCTGGCATCACAACCCAGCTCACATTCATTTCTTTGGAATTGTATCCTGCCCTTAGCCTGGGCTAAGAGATTAGTCTAAGTGGTCACACTGCAACTCTCTGCATGTTTGCTGTGCTCTCCCTTCAGTAGGCCACCTTCTCTGGTTGGATGTGTTCCAACAAAGCCCCAGATCTATATGACTGTACAGATTCAGTCCCCATCTGATTGAATATTTTCATCTCTTAGTTCTAGTGTTCTAGAAAGAAAGTCTGACTCAGCCAAGTCTATGAATTATTCCTCCAAGTCGGGTAACCATTCCTTGTTTAATCAGCTGAAAGTTATTGGGAGTGGGAGGGGGGAAGGGGAGAGAGAATCTCCTGGAACAAGTGGCCTCCTGCTCTATCATGGATGCATCAATTTTGATGCCATAGGTCTGAGGTCTGGGTAACCAGAATTGGGGTAGAGGTGAACAAGCCTTCAACTTCCAGAAGAACCCATTTCTCTTCTTGAGACAGTCAATTATTTGGGTGGTAGTATAGATACTAGATACCTGGTAGTGAAATGGTTAAGAGCTATGGCTGCTAACTAAAAGGCAGGCAGTTCAAATCCACCAGCCGCTCCTTAGAAACCCTGTGGGGCAGTTCTACTATAGGGTCACTATGAGTTGGAATCAACTCAATGTCAACGGGTTTGTTTTTTTGGTTAGTATAGATATTATGGAGTACCTGGGTGGTACAAATGGTTAACACACTTGGCTGCTAACCAAAAGGTAGGGGTCCATCCAGAGGTGCCTCAGAAGAAAGGCCTGGTGATTTACTTCCAAAAGCAGCCATTGAAAACCCTATGGAGCAGTTCTACTCTGACACACACGTGGTTGCCACGAGTAGGTTGGAATTAACTCCACAGCAGCTGGTTTTATCGTCTCTCAACTCTACCTATTCCTCTCCCTTATACAGCTGGTTTCTAAGTCTTGGAGATTCTACTTCTTAAATACTTCTCAATCTGTTTCTATGGTGACCAGCGTGCTCTATATAAGAAACAAGTTTGATTGTTACTTTTTAACTTAAGTGTCTTCAGTGTATCCTCATTTCCTACAGGATTAAATAGTAATTTCTGAAACAGCCTATTAAAAAAAAAAAACGCAAACCAAACCCACATCTTTCTCCCGTGGAGCAGCTGGTGGGTTCGAACCACCGACCTTTTGGTTAGCAGCCAAGTGCTTTAACCACTGTGCCACCAGGGCTTGCTGAGATAGCACATAATACTCCTTATTTATGAACTTGCTCCTGTTTATTTCTCTGTCCTCATCTCTCACCACTTCCCCTCCCTCTCCAGTCACAATGGCCTATTGGTATTTCCTGGAACATGCCATTCTGTTACATTCCTTCATGACTCAGTTCCTCTGGATATTGTCTGGAATGTTCTACTCTTGTCTGGTGAACTCCTACTAAGACCTTCTGCCTTCTGAAGCCTTCTCTGACCTACTGAGGCAGAGTTGACTCCCCTTCCTCAGGGTTTACTTTGTCTCCAGAATAGAGCTCTATTTTAGGATCTATGGCAGGGAATTGTAATGACCTAAAAATCTGAGAGTTTCTAGAAAGCACGGGCCCTGTCTAATTAATTTCTGTGACTTCAGAGCCAGGCACAGTGCCTGACACACAGTAGGGTCTCAAATTGTTTTTGAATAGAGAAGTAAAATGCCTTGTTTAAAAGCAGGAAGAACTTGTCAACCAGTTCATGTTGCTGACTATCTCTTGGTTCCAAGATTTAATGTTTGAGGTATGTGATATTGATTCCTTCATTGATACAACAAGTATTTACTGAACATCTACCCTAAACCTGCATGGGAATACAAAGAACAAAACAGACATGCTCTTTACTGCTCTTGTGGAACTGAGAATTTACTGGGGGAAACTGTTGCTGCATTTGTATGAACTGTTAAATAAAAGAGACAATATTCCGAGTTTGGCCCATGATGTCAGTCTGAGATTTTCCCTAAAACAAGCCTGTCTGCAATATAAGGTCAAAATCTTTGCCTGTTGGATTACTTTTGCTTTTTGCATGCTGCAGATTCAACTCTAGTTCTCCAGCATAGAAAATCATTTTGGTTGATAAACACAACAACAACAAACAAACATGTAAAATAGCTGAATATCTTGTTTTAATCCAACCACAACTTTGTTTTCACAAATCTGTGAGGGCTGGGATTCATCAGTGGCTTTACAGCTTCCCAAGTGCTTTCGCATTTACAGCGATATTTGGTTTTGCTTGTAGGAAAACCAAAGGAATGTAGCGGGGAGCATTCAAGAATCAGCAAAATAGAATCACCTTCTTAAGCTGAGGGTGGGGTGGGGGGTGCTACCTTTAGGCAGTGAGAGGTTATTGATATGTACTCAAACAAATAAAGGTCCGAGAGTCTCCCTACTGAGAGTCTGTAAGACGCAAACTTCTACCTCAGGCAGTGTGACTGGAGAAATGAAAGAAGCTGCTAAGTCATGGCATTTTGAAAATTGAAAAGGAAAAAAAAAAGCAAAAAACCACCATAAAACCAAAACACCAAACCAGTTGTCGTTGAGGTGATTCTGACTCATGGCGACCCCATGTGTAGCTCCTGTGAAAATCAGGTATCAGAAAGTGTGAACAAACCAAACCAGGCTTACTATCCTGACATCCTCCTCCCCAGTCCTGTCCTGCGAGGGGCAGGTCCTGCTTCCTTCTCAGTTGGGGTTAGCTATAAACCAGGACAGACTGGAGTCAAGCCGGACCAGGGATGTATAATGTTAGCCGGGTCTATTCAAAGGCATAACAGCCAGCATTACAGGGATGGGCATTCTCTTTCAACTGTTGCTTAGGATAGGGGTTTATCTTTCTTGACTTTGGTTGTTTCCCCTCCAGCCCTTCAGTGGGAGGTGGTAACTAACTAGGAATTGCTGAAGAACAGAGAAGCAATTTTCTTCATTTTAGGTGGCATGCTGCTGTGGTAGAGGCATGGTGCCACAAGGGTTAAACTTCAGAACCTTTATTTTGATGTACAAAAAGATGACAAAGAAAGCACAAGGCAACGTAAAGTACAATTTCAGCTTAAGTTCAAAGTAGTAACTATCTCATAAATTGAGGCTAAAGTTGCTTAGCTTAATTAGGAACTTTGAAAAAAACCAAGTTTTATAAAAGATATAACATTAGTGTAACAATTACTCCACTACTATTTTTTCCCCTTTTTGGGAGTCTCAGAGAAACGGACAGCTTTCTTGATCATCTTTTTAAAATGAAAATTGTAGGCCAGATGGAGCTTTCAAGTCGGCTGTTCCTTGTGAGACACAGGGACAGAAGAAATTGGGGAGGGGATAAAATTACACTTATTTCATACCTTTCCCCAGTCCTAAACAGAAACCTACTTTGGCCTTCTGATAGACTAGCTTTCCAAAAGAGAGTCTGGGCTTTGGCCTAAAACCTTTTCTGGAGTCATTGTCTTGTCCATTTAAATATAACCCCAGGAAGGCTAGCATAGTGCTACATTTCATCTGCAAACTTTAGTGTAAACTAGCCAGGTACAAAACTTTGGTTTTCTATCCACTCAACAGCAGGAAAAATCTACGTACATTACTTTTCTCAAAACTGGACTCTATTTCCTGGATTAATTTTACCACTGTGGTTTGGTTGCTTATTTTGTTGGGCAGAGTTGCAACTGTGATGAGGGAAGGATATTTTTGCACGGGTTCGATGGCCAGGTAAGGTTACCGAGGGGCTCATTCCGGCTCTGTACCTGGGTGTGGATCATTCTCACTCCCCGCTGGAGAAGGAAGGCAGTCACTGCCAATCTCTCTGCCACCAGGGACTCTGGACTTGATTGTTCCCATCAGACCTTCAAAAGATTTGAACGTGGCTGACTTTTTCATGTGTCCAAGCTTCCTGCAGATGGCAGAGCCCACAGTTGACAGGGCAGCTGACGTCGTTTGTTTCACACAGGCATTGGAGACCTGAACATCATGCCAGCTCTTGGACAGATTCTGCCTCAGCCTTACGAAGGCTGTGACGCCCAGCTTCCTCTTGAGCTCCCTGCAGTGTCCCTCTTTGGCTGCGAGCATGTGGCGCAGGGTTACAATTTCTGCTTCCAATTCAGTGAGCTCGGATTTGAGCTCCTTTTGCCGAGCCTCCGTCAGATCCTCTGGTTCAGAAGTCATGTGGGATTCACATGTGCCCACAGGGGCCTCTGCCATGGTGTCTGGCATAGCGTGCAAAAGGAGATCCTCATTAAGGGAGTCCAGGTCCAATTCTTGGTAGAGAGAGTCCAACTCTTGCTTGGTGGAGAAATAATCTTGGCTGGCAGGGTCGAAGTGGAGGCCTTCGGGGTCGCACTCTTGGCCTGTGGGGTTGGATTCCGGGCAGGAGGGATCCATATCATGACCGGTGAAACGGCGCCTTAGCTGAATGGTCAGCGGGTCACGGTCCCGCCTTGCGGGGGCAACGCCTCGGCCTGAGACGTCCACTTCCGGCGGGGGCGGGCTCGGGTTGGGTCAGGGAGGTGAGACTTCCGGCCAGAAGGCCGAATCCAGCGGAAGCTGTTTTGTCAGGTGGCGCGTACACTCTCGGCGTTTGAGCATCACAAAGACTCGGTGAGGTAGGCAGCGCCGCGATTGTTGCCAGCAAGGAGAGGGATTTACCCTCCTGCAGCAGGAGGTGACAGGGCCTGACCTCCAAACTAAGTCATTGTTTGACTCCCCTTCTGGTCTTTTCACTACGCCAGCCATTTTCAAAGCTTTGGAAATCAGTTGAACACTTTGTGCTAACAGAAACGTATGAACAACTCCAGTACGTAGAATAGACACTGCGCCAGGGAAGTCGCAGTCTTGTCCTTTTCCTCATTTTCCTTCTCAGGTTCTCACAGTAGTTCCTGAGAACCTTTTAGGGCCGCTCGTAAAGGGAATTCGAAGGCTCTTACTGCTCAGAGTCCAAGGGTGACAAACATGATCCCAGTGAAGTAGCAACAGTGCCAGAGGCTTAGAACAGCAGAACTCAGGAAGCGAGTCCGAGGTGTCTTATTTGGGTGGCGGGAGGGAGGATGAGTAAATCTGTACCGGTTTCGTCATGCTTGAACTTAATAGAAGCAAAGACTGTTGGTGTACTGTGAGACTTTAGGTGAGACGGGATTTCAAAAAACAGTTGCCGAGTAGTCAGTTCTGATTCATAGCAACCCCGTGTGTGTCAGAGTAGAGTTGTGTGCCATAGGGTTTTCAGTAGCTGACTTTTCAGAAGTAGCTAGCCAGGACTTTCTTCCGAGGTGCCTCTGGGTGGGCTGGAACTTCCAGTCTTTCAGTTAGTAGCAGAGCGCATTAGCCATTTGCACCACTCACGGACTCCTGAGAGGGGAGTCAATATATGCGAATAGACAGTACATGGATTTTCACTATTGGAATTGCATTTTCTTTTTTTCCCCAGCATGCACTCACATTTCTGAAAGCATGTCTGCCCATCATACATGGTTACCAGTTGTGGGAAGTGCTCTGCACAGTAAGGGAGAAGTAGTTGAGTGCAGTCCGTAAGAATGGCAGTCCACTATGTCCTCTATTTCTGCTCAGAGCTTGTATTTTATATAATGGAAAAATCACTGGATCCCCATTACTAGGGAATATCCTTGAACAAGTCTTAATTCTAGTGATTTTGTTGGATATTCTGGTAGTTCTTGCAAGCATAAATCTTCTGGAACATAAAATGATTCTCAGCAAATTTCAGCGATTTGCAATACTCATGGGTTTGTGGCTACAATGAAGCCTCCAGCTGGGTATCCAGATCAACTCCCGTCCTCCTTTGGGTTTATATTCAATAACCCTTTCACGTACGTAACTCAGTAATGTTTATTATTGGCTCACTCTGGAGTGTGTGCTTATCTAGATTACAAGATAAGAATTCTTCCCTTTGGAAATATAGAGGCTGATGAGGGATTTGGCTATGTGTATAAAGGCCTGAAAAGGGTAGCAAAGGTTCCCTAAAAACTATTTTGCTCTGGAGAGTAAATTTTTCCTCTGTTGCTGGCAGAAACACTGGTGGTTCCAGTAACGCTCCCAGGTCCTGAACCAGACCCTTTGTCTTAGTTACCTACTGCTGCTGTAACACAAATAGAACAGAAATTTATTTTCTCACAGTTCTAGTGGTTAGAAGTCCAAATCAGGGTCTTGGCAGTGTTGATTCCTTCCTTGTCAGTAGCCCAGGGTGTTGTTTGGTTCCTTGGCTTGTAGATGATCCTCACGTGGTGCCTGTCTTCCTGTGTATGTGTGTCCATTCTGCTCTTTTTATAACTCAGAAGTAATTAGATTTAGAACCCGCCCTACTCAAGTATGACCTAATTACCAAATTTTTACACAGGTAATGCGCACCTTCTATGTTTGTTTGCCAACCTTCCCCTCCCCCCTCGAGGTATTTTCATAAAGGCCGCTATGCCAATTTTTTTTACATGTTGCTGTAAAAAAATTAGCATAGTGTGCTTATGAAAATACCTCACAGGGGGAAGGCTTGGTTGGCAAACAAATGTAGAAGGCGTGCATTATTAGTGTAAAAATACGATAACATAACAAAGAAAACTCTGTTTCTAAATAGGATCATATTTATAGATTCAGGGGTCGTAATTTCAATTCATGTTTTAGGGGGACAAAATTCAATTGATAACGCTCCTCTTCCAAAACTGAGGATGAAGGGGGCAAAGAAGCCTGTGAACAAAGCTAAATAACAGTGAACACACAAAGTTGAGATGCCAGGTCACCAGATCTGAACTTGCACTTGATTATTGTTCCCTTGATTGTTTCAGCCACCTATCTTGCTGCCTGTTTTCTTGTTTCTATTCTTCCTCACCCCTCAGTTCAAAGTATGAAATCCTTTGTTAAGCCTTTGATTCCTTTTTTCTTTTTCTTTTTTAATTGTACTTCAGGTGAAGGTTTACAGAACATAGTTTCTCATTAAATAGTAGTACACATATTATTTAATGACATTGATTAACAACCCCACGACATGTCAACCCTCTCCCTTCTCGCCTTTTTTTTTTTTTTGGTGAAAATACACATAGCCAAAGATACACCATTTCAAAAATTTCTACATGCACAGTTCAGTGACATTGACTATGCTCTTCCAGTTGTGCTGCTATTCTCACTTTAGATGAAGGTTTACAGAACAAAATAGTTTCTCATTAAACAGTTAGTATACATGTTGCCCTATGACAATGGTTAACAACCTCACTACACATCAACACTGTCCTTACCCAACCTTGGGTTTCCTATCACCAGCTTTCCTATCCCCTTCTGCCTTCTAGCCCTTGTCCCTGGACTCCTGTAACTCATTAGTCCCATTTTGTTTTATGGGGCTGTCCACTCCCCAGCTGAACAGTGAACCTCGGAAGTGACTTCACCACTGAGCTAAAAGGGTGTCTGGGGGCCATACTCTCGGGGTTTCTCCAGTCTCCTTTAGGCCAGTAAATCTGGTCTTTTTTTTTGTGAGTTAGAATTTTGTTCTACATCCTTCTCCAGGTCTGTCCAGAACCCTCTGTTGTGATCCCGGTTGGAGCAGTCAGTGGTGGTAGCCGGGCACCATCTAGCTGTACTGGACTCAGTCTGGTGGAGGCCTTGGTAGCTGTGGACAGTTAGTCCTTTGGACTAATCTTTTCCCTGTATCCTGTTCTCTTCATTCTCCCTTGCTCCCGAAGAGCTGAGAGCAGTGGAGTATCTTAGATGGCTGCTCACAAGCCTTTGATTCCTTTTGATAGGTCAGTGGTTTCGCCTCATAGCAAAACAGACTTGGCCTCTGTCAGTGACTTGGTCTCCAGATCCCAAATGAAGACGTAGTTTCTGGAAGCGGTGTTCCTAGCTGACAATATTCTGTCTTCCAAAACGGACCTGGACAAATGAGTATCATGATGGCACAATCCATTTTATTAGGCTTATGCGTAACCACACACAAAACCACATTTATATTTTGAAAACACTTTTAACTCATAAATCTATCAAATGAAATTTCATTTAATTTATAGTGATTCTAACCCAGTTGTTTGAATACACTATCCCTTTAGGTATAAAATACCAAACTATCTCCCTGTGGTTTCAGAATTCCACATCTCTAGATTAGACAATGACATAATCTATTTGTATCACATAGAAAGGCCCACAAAATTGTTCATCTGAAAGCTTCTTGATGCTATTTATTTAGGTACTAAAAACAGCCAAAATATTTGATTCAGTAACCAATGAAGAAAGAGATTGAGAATTATTTTTAATCCTACAGTGGTTTGCTATCCTTTGTTTCCAAGGAAGACATTTCTGACCCATTTTTAGTAAAGAATGAACTTTGAATTATTTCTCTAGTAGGGGTGATGGATTTATACCAATTCAAATTTATTATCTAATTTCCTTTATAAATGTAAAAGTAAGTGGTCCAACAAAATAACCTTTTTTCTCTTAATGTTTGGGGGAAAAAAAAAAAAAAACAGACCCGTTGCCATCGAGTTGATTCCGACTCATAGTGACCCTGTAGGACAGAGTAGAACTGCCCCACGGGGTTTCCAAGGTTGTAAATATTTATGGAAGCAGACTGCCACATCTTTCTCCCATGGGAGGGCTGGTGGGTTTGAACCACTGACCTTTCTGTTAGCAGCCAAACACTTTAACCACTGTGCCACCAGGGCTCCTTTCTTAATGTTTAGAAGCCTATCTATATTACGTTTTATAAAGAAATTATTAAAACTTGAATGTGAAAGCAAAGCCCGGGGAAGGAGGAAGTGAGACTGTGGTGACTAAGATTCGCATTTGGAAATGATTAGGGGCTTGTACCAGGTCCAGCTGGTTTAACCATTTGACTGCTTTTGTTATAAATAGTCAGTATGGAGCTTCCCTATTGCATCGATTTTTAAAATAATCCACATTGGTGGTTCAGATTGCTTCTAAAGAACTGCCAGTTTATCTCGCAGCCTAGTCATTTGCACTGCTAGAGTTAACCAAAGTGAGTTCTCTGGGGCTTTGTTTCTATTATTACAGGAACTACTACTATGAACATTTTGTTCATTTTAGTGAAATAACCAGGAAAAAAAGTTTAAATATTTAATTGGGTCTGAAAATAAGGCATAGAGTTGAAACCCTAATACAGTTATAATGTTTCAAGAGTAGGAGAAGAAAATTGGTAGTTGGGCTTTTCTTGCAGGAAGCCAGAATATTATATTTGATTTCAGTTTGCAAGTTTTCACTGTTACTTCACATCATAGCCCAGCTCCATCAGTAATACATGTACCCTCCCTGTAGATATTCTCCAGCAGGAACAGGAATCCTGGCTGCAGTTTATAGCTGCAAGTGTCATTGCCATCAGTCCTCAGTGGTTAAGCTGATCTTTATGTAGGACCAGGCTAACATTACCTTTCAGCATCCCT